CACCCACACCCACACCCACACCCCACACACCCACACCCACACCCAGAACTCGAGAACGGCTGAGCGAATCTTTCTCATCTTCGAACTGGTTCGAGATGTCGTTAAGACTAAGCTGTGTAGAAAATTTTATCGTGATCGGATTCTCCTTTGAAAAGGTATCGTTGAGACCGCCGGCCGGGCACACTGACTGATTCTAGAGTTTACTCACTTTTTGAGTACACAACAAGATCCCCGTCTCACTCTCATACTTTGCCATGGAAGATTTGAGCATGTTGATGTGGTTACTTAAATAAGTTTATTCAAAATATCCAGGTTACATTTAAAAAAATAGTATCAACGGTTTGTTCGTACTCAAAATGATCTTTGAAAAGATATTCGAAAAGTGTTGGGTGGTGATACGTTAAATTGGCCCTTAGAAAATAAGCAGACATCTGAACGGCACGAAAGAAAAGAAGCACTGAACTTACGTTAACTGCACTATAGCCACCGCTTCCGCTAAAAGTCAATGAAGGTGGATTGGTAGAGCCACTGTTTAACGGAATACGAATACCAGCGTTGTAGCTACCACCAAAGTTGCTTAAATTAGGGCCTGCGCCATTCGTATTGAACATCGGTTGGACCTATTGGATCATACGTATTGAGCACAAATTATTTAGAAAAAATATCGTCTTACACTGTTCGGAGAATTTCCCATCGTTACAGAGGATTCTTGTGTGATGTAAATGAATATTTGCTTGCTATAATATACCTATGCATAACGAATGACAGTGCAGACACTTTATATAGCCGTAGAACTATATGCAATTGATGACAAAATTCATGACATAAGGGATGACTGGTTTGTCCTTCACCTGAAGTGAGAATTTTCCTTATGAGTCCTGTCACTAATTAATGATAAACAATACCTGTGGTTTTTTCCCATTCCTATCTAGAACAAGCAATCAACAGAAAATAAAGTGTTCTCTCTCATTTGATCAATGGCCGATAAGTTCGAAACAATTTTTTCCCAAGAATGATGCTCACAAAATCTTATTTTTTAAATACACTGATTACTGAAAATAAGTCGTTATTATCAGGAGTTTCTGTGTACACGTTTGTACCGTTCAAATTGATTCTATGTCTACTTGCTAGAAAATGCTTGACTTATTTTTACCGCCGATGAATACTGTTGTCTTCATGCTGAGGGTGAGGGTGAGATAAATAACCACAATAAAAATTATTTCAAGAAATAAAATTATTTCGATTCTATTTAAGAGAATTATTATCAAGGGGCATCGATATTTATTCTGATTCAGAAATGAAATAAAATAAAATATCTAATAATATTTTCAAATAATTCGAAGATTTCGATTTTCCTTGTAATGGTTACAGCTTGTCTTTATTTCAAGAATGTCAGCTGAAGTATACATGTGTATAACAATTGAAAAACAGATTGATCTATGCTTTGACGAAAACACAAATCAATCTGCTAGTTTCAATTCTTATTTCTCAGCAACCGATCTTATTCGAAAATTTCAATTTCAAAATTCAATAATATAGAAATAAATATACTTGAATTCAAAATTAATTAATTAAGTAAGTAAATGCAGAATTGAATTTTTTTCGCCAACGCGTTTTGTGTATTTTATTTAAATAATGAAACACTCTTCAGGGCTCTGCATTTACCAAAAAGATAAATCAATAAAAGTAAATAAACACGAAAACTTCGGATTTTATCTGAAAGTTATATATACTGCAAAAAGTGTATAAGACAGATAAGTCATTATAGAATACTTGAACACCCGAAATTATCATGGGAAATATATTCTATAAGCACGATTCCTATGGGCTGTGCTCATCTGATAGGATATAGGGACGAATAAAGCTCAGATTTGAAATCTTCGCCTTGAATTACCCAAAGAAAAACATTTTTCCTGTAGCTTGATTTTTATTGCTTATTGCTCAACCAATGGGATTTCGGGATGAATGGAGTACAGATTAAAGTTCTCCGCGCCAGAAAACCTTAAAGCAACATATCTGTGATTAGAAGATAGAGCTCAAATTGTGGACGAATGACACCGCTGACAACATAGGAATCACTTCCTTCTTAATTATAATTGCTATATAGGTGACTTAACGTTCTTAGTTCTTTATATATTATATACCATTTTGTATCCCGCAAAATTTTCTATAAAATGGCATATAATAGTTGGGGATTTATTTGATTATGACAGGAAATTTTTTTTATGAAAGTGGGTATAAGTCGATTTTCGCAAAAGCGACCACAGGAAAAAATGAATATTTTTGCAATAACACAGAAGCGGCTGGGCCAATTACAGTCAATGTTCCTAATAAGAACAGATTTTTTGGAGGTCGGAGTAATTCCTTTGCTACTAAATCATTTCTCGTGGTAAAAAAATTTTTTTTACATATCTGAGTGCAGAAATGTCTGCTGCATCGAATGATGTAAAAATCATCTAATTATCTCGTAAACTAATTAAGTAATTAGCGGTAGTTTGCGAATAATTGAATTTGTTCTTATTAGGTACACTGTTCCTAATAAGAACAACAAGCAAAAAAGTGTTCCTAATAAGAACACTCTATGTAAAATACATAGAAATTTAAATATTTTTAGTAAATCGACTT